GTCTCCCAGATCATGCTTCTAGAAAAACTGGCTGCTTCTGGATTGGATGGCTGCACTCTTCAGTGGGTAAAAAACTGGCTGGATGGCTGGGCTTGGAAAGTTGTGTTTAATGGACTTAAATTCATTTGGGATGATCTGGACATGGGAATTGAGTGCACCCTCGGAGAGACCTGGACCATCTTGATCAGTGGGCTGAGGACAACCACATGATGTTCAAATAAGACTCAGTGTTGGGTCCTGCACTTGGGACACAACAAACTCATGCAGCACTACAGTCTGGGGGAAGAGTAGCTTGAAAACAGCTCAGCAGAAAGGGACTTGGGAGTGCTGGTGGACAGCTGGCACAATATGAGCCAACAGTGTGCACAGGTGGCCAAGGAGTCCAATGGCATCTTGGCCTGTATCAATAACAGTGTGGCAATGTAATTAGGAAAGTACTTTACTTGCCCAGCTTTCCCAAGCAAGCAAAACTTATTTGCTATTTGTTGTTCTCCCCTGTGAGAAAGTCTTCTTGTGGTAGCTGGAGGACAAAGGTGGAGCTTCCTATAGTTACTGTAATTTAGATAGAAATTACTTTTACCGTCAGATATAAGACTTTCCACTGTCTGCTCTAAAAATCTTAACAGTGAATTTTAATATCATACTTTCCATTGACTTCATGACAAGTTAATTCCTATTTCATTTGTTTGTATTCATTTGTTTGTATTCATTTGTTTGTATTAAATATCACTCCTCATCATTCCCTACAGCTACCTGAAAGGGGGATTGTATAGTGGTGAGAGATGGTCTCTTCTGCCTTTTCTGCGATGAGAAGACTAGAGGGAACAATCATAAGCTAAGACAGAGGAGATTCAGATTAGATGTTCTGAAAATTTTTTTCACTGTTAGCATGGTTAGGCACTGGAATAGGTTGCTCAGGGAGGTGGTGGAGTCAGGATCCCTGGAACTGTTTAAGAGACGTCTAGATCTGTCACTAGAGGATATAGTTTACGGGTTACAGCAGAGCAGCAGGTTAATGGTTGGACTTGATGATCTTAAGAGGTCTCCTCTAACCCTGATGATTCTGTGATTCTATAATTTCTTAAATTTTTGTGCTTGAATACCTAGCACACACCTGAAGTAATACAAGCAGTTGCTTAATAGGTCACTCTTCTCTCTTAGCTATGAGTGGTGATGTCCTGTGCTGGTTTTGAAGTGGGTTGACTTAATTTTCTTCACAGTGGCTGGTATGGGCCTGTGTTTTGGATATGTGCTGAGCACAGGGTTCGTAATAATGAGGGTTTTTCTTTGTTATTGCTGAGCAGTACCTACCCAGAGCCAAGGCCTTTTCTGCTTTTCATACTGCCGTGCTGGCAGGGAGGCTGTGTGTGGGTGGGAGATTGGGAGGAGACACAGCCAGGACAGGTGACAAACTGACCAAAGGATATTCTATGCCATATGACATCATGCTCAGTATATAAAGAGGGAGGAAGAGGGGGACATTTGGAATGATGGTGTTTGTCTTCCCGAGTCACCATTATTCATGATGGGGCCCTGCTCTCCTGGAGATGGCTGAACACCTGCCTGCCTGTGGGAAGCAGGTTAATTAATTCCTTGTTTTGTTTTGCTTGCATGGGTGGGTTTTGTTTCCCTATTAAATTGTCTTTGTCTCAACCCATGAGTTTTCTATCTTTTACCCTTCCGATTCTCTCCTTGATCTTACTGTTGGGGAAGTGAGCAAGTGGCTGTGTGGAGCTTGGTGCTGGCTGGGCTTAAACCACAACACCTCTTCAGGAGACTTGACCAAAAATAGCATATGCTTGTGCTGGGCCTCAGCCACTTTGTTGCTTAAATTCCACCTTCAGTGTCCCTTCAAGGGAAGGTGTTGGTCATCTGTTGGGTACTAATCCACATTGGAATGCAGGCACCAACAGTTACTTTACTGTTGTGATCTGACATCACAAAACTGACACTTTGTTCTCAGAAGTATATATTGAGTATTCTCACAATTGGCTGCTGCTAGTGTTGCAGCCCAAGGATAGCCAGAGGGGTTTCAGCTGTATCAAAGTATTTTTACAGTCTGGGCAGTACATGATCCATGATTTTGCAAATATACTTAACAAAGTTAAGATGGCTTGAATTGAAAGTCACTTTCTAAAAAACAGCTGTACAATGCCATGCTTCATCACTCCTGCTAATATAATGATGCATATCTAAGGTGCTGCCAGGTGCATTATTATTAACTTTGGCATTTAGGCCTGTGTGCTTCTGTACAAACTGGAAACTGACAAGTTTCACTCTGATTTTCTTCACAGACATACAGCCAGGGGATAGAATTAGCCTGCCAAAAAGAAAGAGAGTTTGTGAAGCGCTCTGTAGAATGCACGTGGAACCTAGCAGAAGCCCAGCAAAAATTTGGTAGCTTAGCACTGCATAATTCAGAATCCTGTGATCAGGAATTTGCTCAAGCAAGGACTGAAGCTGCAGAATTGAGATGGAGAGAGGAAGAATGGAGAAGAAAAGAAGAAGCACTAAACCAGAGGGAAAGACAGAATCTATGGAACACAGATCCTGTTAGTAAGGAGGTATTTAATAAGGTATGACCCATATCAGTGTGCATGGAAACAAATGCTAGCGTCTGTTGTTCATTCCAATTGTCTTTAGTCTCTGAGTATCTTCTGTGTCCAGTACAGCACAAAAACACAGTATCTCCCACACCTCTGTGCCTGGGAAGATCACAGAACAGATCTGGAGGACAGAGAGGTGATTGGAGACAGCCAGAATGGCTTCACTGAGCGCAAGTCCTGCCTGACCAACCAAGTGGCCTTCTATGATGGAGTGACTACATTAGTGGACAAGAGAGGGGCTACAGATGGCATTTATTTGGACTTCTGTAAAGCCTTTGACATGGTCCCACACAACATCATTCTCTCTAAATTGGATGAAGGGATTTGATGAGCGGACTATTAGATACATAAAAATAGGTTGGACAATCTCGTCCAGAGGGTACAGGCTTAGGCCCTGATGGACATCAGTGACAAGTGACGTCCCTCAGGGGTCCAGACTGGGACCAGTTTTATTTAATATCTGCATTAATTATGTAGATGAAGGGATTGAGTGCATCTTCAGCACATTTGCAGATGACACCAAGCCAAGTGGTGCAGTTGACCACCCCTGGAGGACAGGATGCCATCCAGAGGAACCTGGACAAGCTTGTGAAGTGGGTCTGTGGGAATCTCATGTGGTTTAATATGACCAAGTGCAAAGGTGCTGCACCTGAGTTGGGGCAATCCCCAGGATCAATCCGGTGTGGGGGATGAACAGATAGAGAGCAGCCCTGCTGCGAAGGGTGGATGAGAGGCTGGACAGGAGCCAGCAATGTGCACTGGCAGCCCAGAAAGCCAACAGTGTCCTGGGCTGCATCAAAAGCAGTGTGGGCAGCAGGTCAAGGAAGGTGGTTCTGCCCCTTTGCTCCACTCTTGTGTGACTCCACCTTGAGTACTACATCCAGTTCTGGGGCCCTCAGCACAGGAAGGACATCGACCTGTTGAAAGGAGCCCAGAGGAGGCCACCAAGATGACTAGAGGGATGGAGCAGCTCTCCTATGAGAAGAGGCTGAGAAAATTGGGATGATTCAGCCGGGAAAAGAGAAGGCTTCGGGATGACTTAATTGTGGCTTTCCAGTGCCTGGAGGGAGCTACAAGAAGGATGGAGAGAGACTTTTTACAATAGCCTGGAGTAACAGGACAAGGGGGTATGTCTTAAAACTGAAAGAGAGAGGTTTAGATTAGATGTTAGGAAGAAATTCTATACTATGAGGGTGAATGATCTTTAAGGTCCCTTCCAACCCAAACCTTTCTATGTTTCCATTCCATGATTTTTTCCTTAGTTTGCCACATCAAAGGAAGCAAGCTGCACTCATCCTACAAATCTGGATCACATCTGTCTACCAGAAGTGTGGATCAAAACTTGCGTGGGTCATCTAGGTATTAGACATGACCCAAGAGCATGTGCTTGTAGCCCGGAAAGATGATCAGAGAGCTGGAGCACCTCTCCTGTGAAGACAAGCTGAGAGATTTGGGATTGTTCAGCCTGGAGAAGAGAAGGCTACTGGGAAGCCCTTATTTACCTTATTGTGGCTTTTCTATATTTAAAGGGGACTTAGAAGAAAGATAGAAAGAGATTTTTTTTAGTCTCTGTAGGCCTGTAGTGATAGGACAAGGGGGAACGGCTTTAAACTGAAAGATAATAGGTTTACATTGGATATAAGGAAGAAATTTTTTTATTATTAGGGTCACAAGAGACTGGAAGAGCTTGTCCAGGGAAGTTGTGGGTTCTCCAACCCTTTGTGAAATTTCAAATTGTCAGATTTAATGGGGCTTGGAGCAGACTGATCCAGTAGAAGATGTCCCTGGCTATGGCAGGGAGGGGTGGAACTCCATGAACTTTTAAGTGTCTCATTCAACCCAAAATGTGAAACAGTTGGTTTGCCTCTAATACTGACTACTGTAGTAGAGTTTATGTAGCACAAACTTTTGTAGTAGAATCTCAGCTTTGATTTCACAGTTTAATTTCAACAGATAGCACGTGTCCTAATTTCACTGATTTAGCTGCATCCAGGCTGCAATGTACATGATTTTCATCACTGACAGATCACTAAATGCCTATCTGAGGGCAAAAGAGTCTCAGACACTATAATGAGACTTTTAAATTCTATTATTTGCTAAAGAAAACCTTCTCAAACATGAAGTGAATATAAAATGAGAACATAGCCCTTTAAATAGTAACATATGAAAATATAATACTCCTTTATATTACTAAACAGTATGTCTCAAGTATGTGATAGCACAATTTTTCTCTTCCTCAGAGTTTTATTAATCAGAAAAGAAAAGAAATAGAAGATGAAGCTGTGTCTGAACCACTTATGCAAAAACATGAACAAAAGATTAGACACTTTGGTGAGTCTGTTTTTCCAACATTTTGCAGTTCTTACAGAATTTGTGTTGGTTTGCTCCTTCTTATACAGAATGAATGCTAACAAATGAAAGACCTAGATAACAGACTGTTCAGCTTTATTTTATGAGTACAGATAATAATTTCAAAGTGAAATAAGGTGTGAATTGAAGAAGCTTGTTAGTTCCTGTAAACACCAAGAACTTAAATTGAAAAAATAAAACATAAGAAATTAATACTCAAATGAACTTGAGCCCTGTCCTGGTTCAGCTGGCATAGAGTTAATTTTCTTCTCAGTAGCTGATGCAGTGCTGTATTTTGGATTCATTATGAGAATAATGCTGATAACACACCAATGATTTGATTGTTGCTTGGTAGTCTTTACTCCAAATCAAGGACTTTTCAGTCTCTTATGCTCTGCCAATGAGTAGGTGCACAAGAAACTGGAGGAGAGCATGACTAGGACACCTGACCTGAGGGATATTCCATACCACAGAATGTCATACCCAGTATGTAAACTGGGGAGTTGACAGGGAGGCGTCAGTCACTGCTCAGAAATGGGATGGGCATCAGTCAAGCCATGAAAACTAAAGTTCTAGAAACTTTTACTGCTATTCAGTGGGACATTCATGGAGATGTGTCATGTATAAAAGTGCATGGGATTGTCCACAGTGCTCTCTTCATATAAAAATGATTTTTCTGACACCTGTAGGCTACAAGGGCAATGACTGATTAAATGGACATGTTTGTAAACACCTACTAAGAGTATGTGTGCACAGAATTGTGAGTTTAAAACTACACCTAATTATCCACTAGGTGTCACTTTAGCTGTGTCATAATTTTTGAACGCAATTAAGCACAAAGCTGATCTTGTAATCTGAAATTTTGATGATTCTCTGGAGTGCTTTCCATTCTTAGTTACAGGCTGGTTTCAGACTATAGTATATTATAGCCATATTTGAAATTCCAGAATTGGTATAATTCAGTTATTTTCACAAAAGGTATTCAGCTTATAAGGGTCTTAAAGCTGTTCTAAAGAAAGGGCTTCTAGCCCCAATAGCCTTAGCAAGCCTTGCAAGTACTAAGTCAGGGCACAGCACCGTCAAAGAATGCAGATAGCAGTAATAGGCACAGGTTGTCTCAAATACCTCAACTGCTCAGGGTAATGATAGTGGAATCAAAATATGTCTTCCCTGCCATGCATTTCAGCGGGGGTAAATAAAAGAGGCTTCCTTGCAGGCTTTCTGTCTAAGAGTTGATTAAAATTACTTTTTGTCTAAATTCAGATTAAGCTGTTATAGAAGCAGCCCTATTACAGAATATGATAAACATTCTGGTACCTGCTAAATTCACAGCCATGTTGTTATTTTAATTTGAAATATATAAGTCCATGGTAAAAAGCTCTTTGAAGTCTCTTGTTATGTGCTAGCTGCGGCCAAGGGGCAGTGTGGACTTCACTAGCCAAATTGCATGAGCTCTGTTTCTGGATCTTGCTCTGGCTTCCAAGCAATAAAGAACTTATGCAGAATAACTTGAAAACAGTTAAAAGAAATATTACCTATTGCTTTCTCTTTTGGCACTTGTTTGCTGGAGTTAGGATTAGCTTAGGTCGTTACCACTGAATTATCTTTAGCCCAGTTACAATTATACACTGATGGATGGGTAAAGCTGTACATCTAGTACCTGTTGCCAGGTACTGTTAGTGATACTTGCAGGACAGTTTTAAGATGTGGTCTGAGTACTGAGTTCTAATTTTTCAGCTCAGCTTGTTACGTGCAGGTAGTGTAATGATATCACAATTCAAAGTTCTAGTTAACTTTCCAATACTATGTTGCTTTGCTGTTTGTGTAATTTTAATTTTTCTAAAAACCTAGCAAATCATCTGTTAGAAGCACTTTCATTTTAGACAGATTACACGTTCTGTTCTTTGCATTCCTATTCGCAAACATTTAGAGGATTTGTGCTTGTCAGAATCACTGAATGTAAATCTCTATCCATAAACTTTTTTAACTATTTGATGATGTAACTAACAGATAGCTACACAGCTTCGTTAGTGTGTATAAGAACCGATTAAAAATAACTTATCAATGATGCTAGAGGTGCATGACTCTTAAAATCTACTTTTAGAATTTTTAAAGTCTAATTATACTTTCTGGTAATGCTCTTTCAGCATTGGTTAGACGTATAAATAAACCCCCCAAATTTAGCCGCGTGCTGTCATTCTGGGGCTGGTGAATTGCAAAGTTGTTATGTCTAGTGGAGTATCGATGCAAATCAGTCCCTTGCTGCGTAAAATCATTTATCCATTTAGAATATCTCAACTACGTTTCTCTTACTAGGTATGCTGAGCAGATGGGATGATAGTCAAAGGTTTTTGTCTGATCACCCATACCTTGTATGTGAAGAAACGTCTAGATATCTCATGTTGTGGTGTTTTCATCTAGAAGCTGAGCAGGTATGAAGATGTTTACATTCTTGCAAAGCATGTGGTTTCCCACTTGCACTGTCAAGAATCTGACCAACTTGATTAGCTGTTTAACTGTTCTTCCCACCATCTCTGTTGATAGTGTATTGTCACATACATGTCTAGTTGTAGCTAATTATCAGTCCCCCTACTTCTGCAAGCATCAGTTCTCATCTGTTAAGGAACTGGAACAAAAGGAAATTATGCTGAATTTTAGAAATATAATCACAGGAAAAATCTTTAAATTGTAACTCCAACTGTTTTGGGGCTTTTTTTTTTTCAGAAAAGAGCTCTGATGGAGCAAGTAGCACACCAAGCAGTTGTAATGCAGTTTATTATAGAAATTGCCAAAAGCTGCAATGTGGATCCAAGGGGATGTTTTCGTCTGTTTTTCCAAAAAGCCAAAGTAAGTCAGCTTGGGTCATGATGGGAGAAACTCTTGATACTGTACAAGAGACTAGTGATGTAAAGTATGTTTCTTTCTAACCAGCTAAACAATTTGTTGACTGACTAAGACTCATGGGAAGGTCTCTTGTTAGCAACTATTTTCTAGACAGGATAATTTGTTGTCATTTCAATTCCGAAAATTAAAGCTTAGTGGGTTTTACTTGTCCCAGATGGAAAGCAAGATGCAGCAGGGGCACAACAGAAAGGTTACAGACAAGTAATAACTTAACAAGAGCAAACACAGACCAGTTTAAGAACTGACACTTTCCCTTTTATCTGCAGTTTACAGTCAGATTCAAAAATCGTGTCCCTTTCTCATTACTGAAATAGAGCAATCCAGAGCTATTCAGGAGAAATGTGGGAAGACTGGAACTGTGGTTTGCTGTATTCAGTTATTCAATACTCTGATGGATCTCAATATGGCCTAAAGAAGTGCAGTTGAAATGCGAGTCAACCTGTGCTTTACTTTTGACTGAAGGGCTTCAACAAGCACCTGTTCTTCTTAAGGGTACCTTCTGAGCTGGAATAAATGGAAGGCTAAAATTAGATTTAGTTTTACATGTCCTTAGATAAATCAATGACTTTACTTTTGCATATAAATGCTACACATTGTCTAATAAAGAAGTAGACCTGAAATGTAATTTAGAATGGGCTAACATTATTCCGGATGTTATTCCCCAAAAGGTATAACATGCATTACTGTGTGTGGGTTTTTTTCAGCACTGTGTGTGCTTACAACTCAAAAGTAAATCTGGCTGAAGTGCAAATATATAATTTGTCTCTTTGTAGACAGGAGAAGGCTATTTTGAGGCCTTTAAAAATGAACTTGAGGCATTCAAGACAAGAGTGAGAATCTGGTCACAATCACATGGCTTTCAGACTATGTTACTACATGATCTCAGTGTCAATCCTGGTTGTGTGGGAGAGCGGACACCTTTTTTACAGGTAGGTTTATTATTTCTGGAAATTAATGTAACTAAATTAGGATTAGGTTCTGCCTTGAGAAGCTATACATTTCTGAGATACAAAGAAGATTATTCTAAAACTGCTAGTGCTTGGGATGTAGCATGCAGTGTTATTAATGCACAAGGCATGTATGTTCTTTCTTCTTACTTGCTGAAATTCAGAAAGCATCAGCAGAAGGTCAAAAGTATATGTTTGTTCAGTGCCTTCACATTTTCATGCTTAAATTAAATGCTGCATGATGAAACTGATCAGATGCTAGAATTCACAGTATTTACCACAAGCGGTGTAAAATAACCAATACTGTTCATGGGATCATTCAGGCAAGTCATAGAATTACAGAACGGCTTGAGTTACAAGGAACCTGAAAAGTCATTGAGTTCCAATCCCCCTGCCATGGCTAGGAACACCTTCCACTAGACCTGGTTGCTCAGAGCCCCATCCAGCCTGGCCTTGAACACTTCCAGGGACCCCACAACTTCCAGGCAAGAGAAGTCAAGCCTAAGGAAAGTCTCCTTTTGTGATGAAAGGAAACTGAGCATACTTAGGTCTTTTTTTGCAGTTCTAGCAATAGCCACATTCTGGACTGAAGAGCCAACTGGAAAGGCTGTGAAAGTTAGGTATTAGGGAAGGAGTCACAATTGAAAGTGCTTACTTTAAATAATTTGCTTAAAGTACATCTCATGTAAGACTGAACAGCTGAATTTTAAGCAAATGTGCAGTCAGGTGCTAGAAATATTAAGACCAAATACAAGCTATGCTAGCAAATTAAAAAAATTCTTGATACAGTGAGATAATGGTTGATGATTTTTTTTCAGAGCTTATTTCCTGCTCTTGCAAACTTGTCTCATCATAAAATGTACAACACAAATAGTCCACTTAAGTTAAAATCTCTTTATTTGTTGCTCTCTTTCTCCCTCCATAGATAGTTATGAAGAACTAAGCTGTCATTTTTTCATCTGTTGCAGAACATAGGAAGTCTACAAGGTTCCATAAACACAGATGTCTTCAGTTTGAACTCTGTGATACAAAGAGATGAAGAAGAATCCAAAATGATGGACACAGTATAGTACTCTTAAGATTGAGCCCAAGTACTCTTCTTTTTTCCTTCAGTTTTGGTTGTTTTTTTTTTTCCCAAAGAAGCAAACATGGCTATTTTCTTGACCCTTATTTTTCTGGGTACTGCACTTTATTTTGGTGTCAGACTTTTGTTGGGTTTATTTGGATTTAGGGGGGAATGAGTTTTGAAGGGTGGGTAATTCAGAAAAACTTGTTATATTGTTTGAAAATGTGCTGCTAGGTTTTTGGTTGTCCTTGAAGAGCAGGGTTCTTACATTGCCGAATGTGAAACTGGATGTGTTTTCTGCTACTAACCTTGCCTTTCATGATTTTAGAAATTAAAGTTTGAAAAAAAAAATCTGCACAAATACAATGTTTACAAGAAAGCAGCAGATTCTTGGTAGAATCTGCTGTTGTCTTACTACAGATGTGGAGATGTTTTACTCGGAGTATTGGAGATTGCAACTGTATTCATGCTACCTTGCTGACAGTATAAGCTCTCAAATTTGGTGATCACTAATAGCAATAAATCATTATCTGGTATCAGTATTTCTGATCTGAATGGATTAGATTAAACACTGGCTTTCTACCTCCACTAAGGGGATTTAAATGTTTTATTGTACTTTCATTAAACATAACTTGGTTTTGTCCTAAGATGCAATCAACGCTTGTCTACAAATGAGTTCTGACTTGTATGATTTCTGAGACTCTTGATTCTCTTCTTGTTCATAAGACTAACTTCAGATTCTTTTTTTAAACCAAGTCTCATTATGGGTACAAGTATTTCATGGAGGGAGCTTGAGGTACAAGAGTTAGGCTAAGATGTCAGTTTAAACAGAAAGCTTTGTTGCAGGTCATATAGGGTAAGGTGTCATGTGGGGTTTGAAAGGTACTTGATATGACCGAAGTGGGTTTCTGACATTTTCAATTGAATTAAAGTGGGAAATCACTAAAAGCATCATGTTTGAGGAGCTGGAAATCCAGACACTATTTCCTAGACATGGGTTTCCACAGAACCTGTGCAATCCAAGACTACTGTGCTTTTATAACTTGCTGCTATTACAGCAGTTCTGTCTTTATAAAGGTATACTGCCTTTGGAAAACTCCATCAAAGACAGAGGATTTCTCAAATAATGGTATCAGTACACACTCTCCATTCTTTACTGTATTGTTCTGCTTCTATGTGAGGTCTGGAGAGCATCTAGATTTCAATAGTTCAATGAATACCATCTGCCTGCAGTTTTTAGTTCAGGCAGAACAACCACTCAAGGCAGTGCTGCAGGCTGAGGAGGAGTGACTGAAAGCTGCCCACAGGAAAGGACCTGGGGGTGCTGGTTGAACATGAGCCAGCAGTGGGCCCAGGAGGCCAATGGCAAAAATAGTGGGGTCAGCAGGACTAGGGAAATGATTATCACACTCTACTCAGCAGGGGGTGAGGCTGCACCTTGAGTACTGTGTTCCGTTTCGGGCTCCTCACTCCAGGTAAGACATTGAGGTGCTGGAGCATATCCAGAGACAGGCAGTGGAGCTGGTGAAGGGTCTGAAGCACAAGTCCTATCAGAAGCACCTGAGAGAGCTGGGGCTGTTTAGCCGGGAGAAAAGAAGGCTCAGGGGAGACTTATTGCTGTCTACAACTACCTGAAAGGAGACTGTAGCAAGGTGTGGGTGTTGGCCTCTTCTCCCAGGCAACAAGCAAGAGGACAAGAGGAAATGGACTCCAGTTGCACCAAGAGAGGTTCAGGCTGCACATCAGGAAGAATTTCTTTACTGAAAGGGGGGGTCAGGCATTGGAATAGACTGCACAGGTAGGTGATGGAGTCACATCCGTGGAAGTGTTCAAAAAATGACTGGATGTGGCACTTAGTGCCATGATCTAATTGACAAGGTGATGATCCATCAAAGGTTGTACTCTGTGATCTTGGAGGTCATTTCCAACCTTAATGATTCTCTGAAAAGCCATGCTGAGATCTAGTGATTTTCAGCTTTGGCTACATCGAGATAGGGAAAAGTCTAAGTCTGTAGAATATACCAGAGTATTAGTACAAATGCTGTAGCAGATCCACTGATAGAAGGAGCTTTTCATGTGCCTTGTGTTCTCTAGCATTCTTTTGCAGACAGACTGAGGATAAACAAGCAAGCAGTAGCTCTGTCCCATATGTCAATTAGAGATAAAAAATACAGATTTCTACTGACACTGGCTAAGTTTGACAGATACTCCAGAAAGGATAAGTAAACACTGCCTTCTCCTTAATAATTAGTTAATTATTAAGAGAAACTAAGGAAAAACTTAATAACTCCAGGTTGTTTTTTAACTGAATGTTATGTGTGAGGGTAGTAAGGGCAGTGGAGCACAGTGACTTGCACTTGCTACCGTTACCAGTAGAGCCATTGATCTAGGAACATGTGAAACACTAAAAGTTGTATTTTAAGTTTCTAAGGGGCTAAAATTAGATGGTGTGGGAATAAGTGTCAAATAGTAAGGGGAATCCAGGGGAATCCCTCCCCCTGGCTCACTGAAACTCATGTAGGCTGGCAAAAAAACCAGCCACCACTGCTTTTTATTGAAATCAAAATGCAAAAATATAAGTGAGCAGCACATTAGAATTTCTCTGTGCAATATGGTGCCTATCAATATCTAACCGTAAGTTTTTGAAGAAGTGCATCTCTAAACTCACTCAGTCTACAGCCTCCTATAGATATTTCTGAGGATGAAAGTACAAGTGGTCAACCTTTCTGGCAAGCTTTCTTTAAAAGGTAAGGAAAACTGCTTGCAGTGATAGCTGCTGCCCATATTGTTCAGTTATAGTAATGGGAAAGCTTTACAAATTCTACAATGACCATCTTTTATTAGATTCAGACATGTCTCAGTATTGATAATAGTAAGACTGGATGTGCAAAGGCAGTCCTAGGTAAGTCAGCACCAGAGCTCTGTAACTGCTTACAGTCACTGCATAAGGAGTTTGGGACCTGCATAAGTAGGACACGGATACTTCAGAAGTTACCTAGACGTAGTTTTTTCTTCTTCGGGTTTGCTGACTCTTCCTGAAACTCTTGATCTGATGAGCATAAAAAAAGAGCTGTGGGAGTTCACTGAAAAATAGCAGTGTCTGCAGTACTTGGGGTGTTAAAAGGTATGGTCTGTGGAGGTTTGTAATTCCAGTTATGTAGTGATCCAATAAACACAAGAGCCGGTCAAAGACATGAATCTCATGAAAACCAGTCCAATTGCTACAATAAAACTTGCAACAGCAACATGCTAAAGTTAATAATGTGACCACTGGAAATCGTGGCACTGGCATCAATGAGCAGTTGTTGTTTTCAAAGATAGTAGAAAAGACATGTTCGTGAGTCAAGATCATCTAGCTGCAGGCTTACCAAATTATACTTAATCTCTTCACTATCTGTTCATTTTACTGATAGTGCCTTACATGGCTGTACAAAGATGGAGGCTTTACCAAGTGTGTTACACATACACACTCCATCTTCCATGCCTGCAAGATAGTTACTCTGAGGGCAGAAACATAAACACTGTAATAAGGCAAATCATCTGAGCAAGTGTTAAGTGCAACTTAGGCCAAGCAAAATCAACTAGCATCTGTGCAAGCAAACCTACAAGATGACTCTTCTGTGAGATCAACCTATATGTATGCCAGTTCTGGTCCAAAGTGGCTTTTTGCAGAGCAGCTTTTGGCTAGCCCCAAGTAATCACACATTCAAGAAACGTCCTTTCATGCTTCAGTGAATCAATCAATGCGCTTTCTAATGAAGCTGTATTCTGAAATGTTTCCTTCACCAGTCAATATTTGCAAATATATTTTCCAAATAAAAGACCCAAAAGGAGTTGCTTTTTAAAATTAGGTATATTTAATATAAAAAAATACAGCATTAAAGTGAGAACCTCAGGCAACACAATTTTATCCTAATGTAAGTTAAGGACAGCATTAGACTTTTATTCTTGATCAGTGTGGTAGACTACTTGGATTACTCCTTGATTGCTGAATCTCATGTAATCAAGACTAAGCTATGACAGATGAGCAGAAGTTAGACCTATTTTCACCTGGGAGTGGCAGCATCTTTCTGGCTCACATCTGGCAACTTGGTTTGAAGGAAAGCATAGATATGTGGCCATATCTTATTGGTTTCTGTTCCTGAGAATGATTTCAATAACCCTTTTTCCCTAAGGAAAAAAAGAAGAAAGCATTACAGAAGTCATATTGTTTAATTGTTCAAAGATCTCTGCCCTGCTTCAAGAGTGCCCTGGCATGAATGTGCAAATATGCTTGTGATTTAACACCAAGAACAGTTGTAACATTGGAAATGCATGCTGGACATTGATTGCTCTACTCCTCAAAGAGTAAGCTATTTGCCAAATCAGTTCATAAAACTGACAGCTCTCTGTGGAGCACTTAATAACAAACAGGGTAAAGGTTAAGAAGTAGCAATGTAGACACAGCATGTGCTGTACAGCAGTCGTCCAAACAACTGTGTCTAACCCAGGTATTGTAAAGTTGCGCCACATGGATCAAAGAATGTGCATCAGAACAAACAAGCTAATCAAGCACAACTAAGTTGTTCTGAATTAGCTCTAGTAGCTGTTTTTATCTGTAAATTATGTTGTTATCGGTAATAACAATAGCTTAGGCCTATGTCTTACCGCTTTGAGGCATTTTCACTTCAGAAATCTAATACAATCAGGAATACCACTGTCAACCTAGAAGAACTTCTTTAAAACTTAACCATACCAAAGATGGAGCTTCTACTCTTCTGCTCAACAGTTCTGGTAGAACATAATGAAGGGTGGTGGATATGGAGACAAAGGAAAGGCCATCACTTCATGATGTTGTCAGTCTGATTTCTTTGTCTAGGCAAGACAGTCTACATGGTGACCTACTACTATATTTATATATATATACACACATATAATGTAGAATAATTATGTATATATATAGTAGCAGTGTGATATATGCAGCCTTACATTAAGAGAAACTTTGTGTATAATTTTGGCTCTTAAAGGAACTAGTAGTAATTTGCTATCACTCTACAATGCAAATCGCATAACTCTCAAATAGCTACTTATTCAAAATGAGTCTTGCTAGCTGTGCCAGTCACAGTCCTGTTCTTAGAACAGCCAGTTTTAAATTCTCATGTAAAACAATGAGGACATGAAATAAGTTTTTAGAATGTGGAAGAATAGATTTTGCTACTTACCGGTAATATTCTAGAACAGGTTTTGTTTGTGCATCGTAAGCCTGCAGCCTCTTGCTAACTGTCTCTGGCTTGTCATCGTCGCGCTGAACAAGTGGCTCACCAGTAATATCATCCATGCCCTAATCATGGTTAAAAGCAAACACTGGAGTATATTTCTAATTTCTGTTTAAATATATTTTATGCAATTTTCTATTTAAATTAGAATCGGCTTCCAGCTAGTCAGGGTGTAGATTTCTGCTTAGAAAGAGAAAAGATATGGGCAGCAGCCTATCTGGAATATAAGTCGTTGATTTTCCAGTAAAACAGTCCATCAGTTAAAAATATTTTCTCAGTATTGCCCATGAACATTAGGTCACAGTAACTTAGTCTAATTTGTCCCCTGGAACATTCGTAGAATATGGGAAATATGTAGACAAAACCTTCATATACAAAGGTAAACAACATTGGTGGTAATACATTCCTGCATAACAGTAAATAAGAAACCAATTGGACCTTTGTTTGACAATACCAAAAGGGGCAAAGGAGTTAATGGCCCTTTGATTTTCGAGTTGCAAAATGAAAGAGTTATCATTTAGCAACAGCTGTCCAAAAAAAG